AAATTTGTTTGGTTTGATTACTTTTGAAAACTTATTTGTAGAGAATTTTTCTCAAAATTTTTTGAGAAACACAAACCAAACAAGGCCTTTATTTTTTGAAAAATATCAGCATTTCAAATATTTTATCAAATATTTTATCTGGATGTGCACAAGGAATACCATTCCTGATGACGTGAGGCTTATATTCATATGAGATATTTATTAGAATATTTGATAAAATATTTAGAATCTTTAAACTTGTGTTTGGCAAGTGGGTTTGTAGGCTTTTTTGACTATTTTAGTCACAAAAAACAAAATAGGTTATTTTAGCCATAACAAACAAAACATCACATCCAACCCATAATCATTATATTCTTCTCTCACAAAAAAACTCAAAAAAGTCAAAAAATCAAAAAATCCTTCCCAAACCAAACTTTTAAACCCAAGCTAAAATAACCAAAAAAACCAAAAAACCAAAAAACCAACTCAATTCCCAAACCAAGCCTTAATCTCCAACATAGATATTCATTCTTGATAAATTATGGATTCTATTCTGGACCTAACTTTTTTGATAGCGTAACCAACAGTGAAAATGTACGCACACAAAAATAAATAAAAAGACAAAAATAAAAAAAGTAAATTATGTGGCTGAGATTTTTAAGTATGACCCCACACAATTCATTTTCGTTGAACTTTCGCGTGTTTTGTTTTTGTATATTTTGCATTTTTGTATTTTCTGTATTGCATTATACGTGTTGTGGTCGGTCACATTTGTGTTGTATCATTTTGAATTCGTATAAAAAATATTTTAATATTAACTTAACTCATTTATTATTTTACTTTATTTCATTGTTTGTATGATTGTAAAATGTCATGTCCAAAAAACAAAATTTATTTCTAGTTAAAAATACTTGTGTATGAACAAATAAATAAAACTATTTTTATTAGATTATATCATTAAAAATATATGATTTCAACTTAGATTCTTTTTTTTTTCGTTTTTTGAAAATATGAAAAGAAGTTATATTAAATAAAATAAACAACATACAAATTAAAAAGAAAAACAATAAGACCCTAAAGAGCCAAACGAACAATCAAATGACAAATTACAAAAAACAATAATAAATCTATCAAAAAAACAGATATGATCCAAGAAAAATCACCGATTTTCTCGTTGATGCGATTTGGAAAGTTAAATATACATCAAATCAGCACTCATTGTCACCGTCGTCACTGTCCAACTTCGCCACCACCGCCATCGTATTTCGAACAGCACCAGAAGCTAGAGTTGAAGAGGAAGAACATCCACAATAGTGAGTTGAAGAGGAAAAACACTCGCAATGGTATGGGAGAAAGCTTGAGAAAAGAGAGAACCATTATATATGTCAAAAATCTAAAAATTTATATTGAAATTGGAGGAGAAACATCCCTATTCCTGACATTAAAAAAAAAAAAAAAAACCACATCTACACTCTAGAAGTGCAAATCTATACTCTAGAAATGTAAATCTACATTTTAGAATTGTAAAAGAGATCGCCAAAGTGTCGCCGTAACATCGCTAGAAATCTCTAGAGAACTCTCCCTTCATTTTCCTAGGCTCAGTTTGATTACGTAGATAATACAGGAAAGTAAAAGAAGAAGAAAAAATGATAATTTTTTGTGTTTGTTTAATAGTGAGTCCTAGAAAGTAGTGGGAACTAAAATTTCTTGTACACCTCAAATTAGCTTATTAGTTGAGCTAACAATTTCTTACAAAATGTACAAGGAAATTTATTTTTTCCCACTTGACAATATTTATTTTGTTTTCCTTGTTATCCATGTTTCGCTCCACAAGTACTTCATTTTCTTACAAATTTTTTTTATCTATTCAAATGTATGTAAGAAAATAAATTTTCATTTCTTTCACTTTACTTTCTATCATTAGTTTATTTCTAATGGATGGAGCCTTAGGGAGTTTCTTACTTTACTTTTTCCAATATACAAAATTTATCCTATTAATTTGTTTTTTTATTGGATTAACTCCAAAATAGTACACATAAATACATCATTTTCAATTAAAAAGAAAAATAAAAAACCATATTAACATTAAAAGTGTATTTTACATATTTTTAAAATAAATTAGATTGAGTTACAAAAAATATTTAAATATGTAATGTCAGTCCCTAGTGATTTTTAAACAAATTGATTTTTAAAATTAAAAAAAAAAAATCTTGTATGACATGTTGATTTTGTAACAACCCAGATTTTTAATTATTCTGTAAAATTTATACTAATATTATTTAATCTCAGTTCGGAAAAAATATAATTTATTATATATTATTATGTATAATTTTGTAAAATAATATAATTATTAAAAGTTTAGGAGTCAAAATATAAATAATAATAATAATATAGATAATAATAATAATAATAATAATAATAATAATAATAATAATAATGAGTGTGGTATTAAAATAAATAATTAATTTTATATTGATATACGATAAAATGTAATTTATTTAAGAATTAAATTATTTATATAATTATATTAAAATATTAAGTCAAAAGTAATTATTTTAAATATCTATTAAGGATAAGATTAAATCTTCGGTAATACTTGGTAGCTCGAGAAATGCGGCTCGAATATTGGCTCGAATCGACAAAACGACGTCGTTTTGTCGATTTTTTTTTTTTTTCTTTTTCTTTTTCTTGCTTCAGTTTTTTTGGATGGATAATTTTATTGCTTCAGTTGCTTCACAGAGGAGAGAAGAGGCGACTCAAGCGAGAGAGCAAAGAGAAGAGAGGAGGAAGAGAAGGAAGAGAGGAGGATGATCTGGATCTGTATTTTTTTGTTGCTTCAGTTTAATTTTTTTGTTCAGTTTTTCTTGTTGATGATCTGGATCTGTTTGCTCTGCATTTTTTTTTCTTCTTCATCTTCTTCTTCATCAGAAAAATCTGCAGAAAAAAAAAAACATCGAAACGAAAAAATTCAGATCAACTAAAAAAAATGATGAAGATGAAATATTGATGAAGATGAGGATCGGTTGATATATGAAAAATGTTATATGAAGATCTTGAAAAATAGTTGATGAAGATCAGATGAAATATTTTTGATGAAGAAATATTTTTTGTTTTTTCAGATGAACAAAAAAAAAATTTAGATGAACAAATTTTTTTTTTTTTTCAGATGAAATATATTTTTTTTAAATTATTATTATGTAGGTAACTATTTTTCAGATAAACAAAAAAAATTTCAGATGAACAAAAAAAATATTATATAAAGATCAGATGAAATATTTCAGATGAACAAAAAATGTTTTTCTGAAATATTGATGAAGAAATGATGAAGATCAACTAAAAAAATCCAGATCAACAGTTTATCTTCTGGATCTGAACAAGATCTGCAGAAAAACAACGATGCAGAGCAAACAGATCAAGAAGAAGAAAAAGGAAGAAGAAGAGGAAGATGGAGCAACCAGATTTTTCTGATGAAGAAGAAGAAAAGGATCTGTCATCAAATAACATTAATCAACAAATCTTCATGGATTTGTCATCTACTTCAGAGGGCAGATTTAGATCAACAAATCTGAGGATCAAATTTTTTTTGGGTTTGATTTGGTTGATCTCTTTCTCTCTCTGCCGGGTTTTCAATGTTGATTTGAGCACTTTCAAGATGAACAAATTATTCCCTTCCTTCTCCTCTCTGAACAAATTATTTGGTTGAAAGTGCTCAAATGAACAAATGAACAAATCTGGGTTGATCTCTCTGAACAAATGAACAAATGAACAAATTTGGTTGAAATGGAATAAACACGGAAAAAATCTGGGTGCAGCCATCATATATTTTCTGGGTTGATGTTCATCCTTCATTTCAGAAAAAACACGGGAAAAAAGGGGAAAAAAAAAAAAAGCAAAACGCATCGAAACGACGTCGTTTCACTCTCGAGCCATTTTCAAGCCACGTTTTTCGAGCTACGTATCGGAACCGTTAAATCTTTATAATTATTATTGAAATCTCTCACGTAGCGCCTTTTTCTTCTCCATAAATACGGCGGCGCCAGGAGAGAGAACGGAAAAGAAGAAGGAAAAAGAGAGAAAGAAAAGAAAAAAGAGAGAAGGAAAGGAAAGAAAGGAAAAGAGAAGAAAAGAAAGAAAAAGAGAGGAAAAGAATGGGGAAATAGTGGGAGGTGAAAGGGTCTTTGATAGTGAAAAGGAAGAGTGAAGTATTAAAGTTAAGGTGAGTTAGAAAGAAAAGAAAAAAAGAGAGAAGGAAAGGAAAGAAAGGAAAAGAGAAGAAAAGAAAGAAAAAGAGAGGAAAAGAATGGGGAAATAGTGGGAGGTGAAAGGGTCTTTGATAGTGGAAAGAAAGAGTGAGGTATTAAAGTTAAGGTGAGTTATATTATATCTTGATTCAACAAAATATATTTTACGTATGTTTTGACTTATCAAAATCTATTTTAGACAAGTTATATTTTTAATAAAAGTTATGTTTTATAAAGGTTTCAGTTACGTGGTTTATCTTTTGAACTCTATTTGCTTAAAATAAAATCCATGGATATGTCTATTTATATTTTAAAGAAAATTTGATTATGACCTTATAAACAATTATATTTTGTAAGTACCACCACGGGAGTTCCACGCCTTGGGAGACTTAAATAACCATTGACCTCTGTTTGACCACTTTGTGGTCCTCTGTTTGTCATGGATCCACTGACCTCTGTTTTGTGCGGACCAAAGTGCTGTGTGGAACTAAGTGCTACACTATTGTGGGAGCCACCTCTAGAATCCGTACGAGCCACCTCTTGAATCCGTACCTCTGTTCTGACTGTCACTTCTGTGACCTCTGTTCTGTTCTGTACTGTATCGTGGTTATGGCTATTTACTTACATAATCTATGTATTTCAGTTCTGCTATTCAAATGATTTTTGTTACTCAAAGGATTTATTTATATAAATGTTTTGGCCTAATTAACTATACATGGTTATTTTGTGTCCCTTATACTCTTGGTATAATATTTCTCACTCTGCCACGTGCTTATAGTTTTTTACCAATTTTCAGGAAACCATGCAATTCAGAAATAGCTTTTTGGAAAGTCGAGTTGCGGAATAGACACACACTGTATTTTTATGATATTATTTATATGTAAATACCGGCTTTTTTGGTCAATATATTTTGTAATAAAAATAAAAGCTCCAATGATTATTTTGGTACCCTTATTTAAATATTTCTTCCGCTTGCGTTTATTTATTTGTTTAAGAATTGGCCGTAGGTAACTTCAGTTACTGACCATCACGATACTTAACCTTTGAGTACGGGGAGCGGGTCGTGACAAATGCTATCAGAGCAATGGTTTCTAAAAAAAAAAAAAATCATCATTGGAGCATAGGACACATGCACATTTAAGAAGTGGGATAACGGATAATTAGTACCAAATTATTATATTTTGTTTGTTGATTTAATTATATTATAATTTTATATGATTATAGATAAGAAATTTTTTTTTTTTAGTATGCTTAATTTGTGAAGGATATTAGATATAATTTATATTTGTTCTAATAAAAGAAGAACAAGAAAAGAAGGATGTCGGGTTCAAACACCCACTAAAATTATAATATAATTAAATACATGAAATTTTCAGCTCAGTATTCAAAAAAAAATTTATTTCGACTTTTTAAAAGTGGGTTCAAATTATAAAGATACTAATTTTGAAATTATTTCCCCTCACTGAAAAGTTCATCTCAAATTTTTTAATTCTTGCATATAATTCTGTCATTGTGTTCTCATTTTTATCTATTTTTATCATAAACAAAACGAGTGAAAAGTTTTTAAAGTCGCCCATTATTTCTCATTTTAGCCCAAATCAATTTTTGACAACTACACAGTGAGTTATTTTTGGGATTTTTTTTTGAGGTAGTATTTTCTATCAGACTAATCATCTAATATATATTTATTAGAGTGCGCAGCGGATAGCTTATGCATATGACCAATTTTGAGGACGAAATTTTAAAAGGAGGGAAGATTGTAACAATCCAGATTTTTAATTATTCTGTAGAATCATACTAATATTATTTAATCTCAAATCGGAAAATATATAATTTATTATATATTATTATGTGTAATTTTGTAAAATAATATAATTATTAAAAGTTTATGGGTCAAAATATAAATAATAATAATATAGATAATATTAATAATAATAATAATGAGTGTAGTATTAAAATAAATAATTAATTTTATGTTGGTATATGATAAAATGTAATTTACTTAAGAATTAAATTATTTATATAATTATATTAAAATATTGAGTTAAAAGATAATTATCTTAAATATTTATTAAGGATAAAAATAAATATTTGTAATTATTATTGAAATCTGCCCGTAGCGTCTTTTCCTCTATAAATACGGAGGCGCCAGGAGAGAGAACGGAAAAGAAGAAGGAAAAAGAGAGAAAGAAAAGAAAAAAAAAAGAGAGAAGGAAAGGAAAGAAAGAAAAAGAGAAGAAAAGAAAGAAAAAGAGAGGAAAAGAATGGAGAAATAGTGAAAGGTAAAAAGGTTTTTGATAGTGGAAAGGAAGAGTGAGGTATTAAAGTTAAGATGGGTTATATTATATCTTGAGTCACCAAAATATATTTTACGTATGTTCTGATTTACCAAAATCTTTTTTAATAAAAGTTATGTTTTATAAAGGTTTCAGTTACGTAGTTTATCTTCTGAACTCTATTTGCTTAAAATAAAATCCATGGATATGTCTGTTTATATTTTAAAGAATATTTGATTATGACTTTATAAATAATTATGTTTTGTAAGTACCACCACGGGAGTTCCACGCCTTGGGGGACTTAAATAACCATTGGTTTCTGTTTGAGCACTTTGTGATCATCTGTTTGTCATGGATCCACTAACCTCTGTTTTGTGCGAACCAAAGTGCTGTGCGGAACTAAGTGCTACACTATTGTGGGAGTCACCTCTAGAATCCGTACGAGCCACCTCTTGAATCCGTATCTCTGTTCTGTGCGGACCAAAGTGCTGTGCGGAACTAAGTGCTACACTATTGTGGAAGCCACCTCTAGAATCCGTACGAGCCACCTCTTGAATCCGTACCTCTGTTCTGACTGTCACTTCTGTGACCTCTGTTCTGTTTTGTGGTTATGGCTATTTACTTACATAATCTATGTATTTCAGTTCTGCTATTCAAATGATTTCTGCTACTCAAAGGATTTATTTATATAAATGTTTTGGCCTAATTAACTATCCATGGTTATTTCGTGTCTCTTATACTCTTGGTATAATATTTCTTACTCTGCCACGTGCTTATAGTTTTTTACCAATTTTCAGGAAACCGTGCAATTCAGAAATAGCTTTTTGGAAAGTTGAGTTGCGGAATAGACACACACAGTATTTTTATGATATTATTTATATGTAAATACCGGCCTTTTTGGTCAACATATTTTGTAATAAAAATAGAAGCTCCAATAATTATTTTGGTACCCTTATTTAAATATTTCTTCTACTTGCGTTTATTTATTTGTTTAAGAATTGGCCGTAGGCAACTTCAGTTACTGGCCATTACGATGCTTAACCCTTGAGTACGGGGAGCGGGTCGTGACAGATTTAATATATTTTCTTTTAAAAATTCAAAATATGTTTAAAAATTGTAACTTAAATAATCTTTTTTTTTAAACACAAAATAAATAGAGATTTTGATAGAATATTAATTGAAGATAATTTCTCATATAAATGTTGTGAAATAAACATTTCATGAGTAGAAAAATAAATAAATTTAAAAACTTTTTTTATTTCAAAAAATTGAACTATTAAGCAACTTTGTTTGTTGAAATAGGCCATGTTTGGTATCTTTTATATGTATGTTTCTATGATTATAATTTTTAAGATTATTAACTTAAAAGAATTAAAAATAAATTGTAAATTGTAACTTTTGATAATTGGTGAAAAAATTAAACCTATTTTGATACACCTTAGAGCATCTCTAATAGAGCTGTCAACGTTGCTGCCAAAGTTATAATTTGGCAAGAGTGATAAAAAAAAAAAAAGGTTCTCTAATGGCTTGGTATTCTTCTGGCCAAAGATAGCAAATGCCATTTCTATTCTCAAATTTAACAAGCGCAGGTATCAAACATGTCACATCATCAAATATCAACAGAAAGGGTTCCAAATTCAGTTGAAAAAACAAAATTCATTCAATAGAAAAACCTCCTAAATTTCATAATCAAACCCAAATTTCAGAGGAGCTGCCAAATTCACAAAGTTCATAAATAGAAGAAAAAAATTTAGAATAAATCACACAAATTGCAGAATCAATTTAGAACAAATCAAACCCAAAAATTAGTCAAGAACAAATCAACCCAAATTTCACAAATTTATATAAATATCATAAACGAATTTAGAAGATAAATACCTAGATCGACCTCTATGACTTTTTCTTCATCGATTTGTAGGGCTCATTCCCAAACTAATCGAGCTCAATCGAA